GAAGAAAATTATCTGAGTTCTCAAAAACCATATACTTTAAAGTTAGATAATATTCCCAAGCAAAAAAGGTTATTTTGACAACTAGACCCACATAAAATTGTATACTACATAAAAATGTAGCATTTTATTGAACATACAATGTAGCAGGAACACATTTTTTAAAAACACTCTTTCTAACTTATGTTTTGATAAATAATAATAAGGGAAACTTTAAAGAAAGAGAAGAAATCCTAAACCCACAATTCAGAGAGAGAAGAAATCATAGGAATATTAGCAAAATACAAAATGAAGTTTATATCTGGTTTCAATGAGCAACCATTCCCTTCCCAGAAAAATAAAATCCTTTAAAGCTTCACTGTCCAGAGTTGCCTAAAAAAAAAAAAAAAAGATTCATTATTCAAACTGACTATCTGATGGCCCCTGCTCTAATCCACTCAGAAACAGAATAAACAAAAAGGATATCTTTAACAGGAAACTCAAAGGAACCAATCAATTGGGAAAGGGGGTAAAAAAGTGGTTATTTCCTGTTTTCCCTCTGAAAACATAAGTTCTTGATTTTCTTTGTGTAGAGTGAAGACTCTTTTTCAAGATTAGAAATGGGGAAACAAAGAAGGACAGGAAGAATGGAACACTGATCTATAAAAGGAAGCAATGACTAAGGTTTCAATTTGTCTACTTCACCCCAAAACTCCATTTGTCCATGCTTTAACATAGAAAATGAGAAAAGTAAATGAACATTACCAAATGAAATGTTTTCCTAGCTACTTTCTGATATATTATCTCTGGCTCTGAACTGTCTGTTCCATTATCTTTTCACTGTTTTCTGGTAGTCTTTACCCATGTGAATATGTATCACTGGTATCAAATCACATCACATTAATAAAAATGCCATAAAGGATATATGTTCTAATTTTTTTTCCTATCAAGGCAACAGCAAAGCGCAACCATGTGTAGCAGTTAAATTCCAATTATATTATTTAAACTAAATAGTAGGCTTTATTTCGAAACTCCTAATTTTAAAAAATTTACTTTCACTTTTTAGAGATACTAGCTCTGTTGCCCAAGCTGGGATGCAAGTTGCATGATCATAGCTGACTATCCCTCCAATTCCTGGGCTCAAGGATTCTCCCACCTCAGCCTTCCCAGTAGCTGGGATTTGAGGCATGAGTCACAGTGCCCAGCTAAAAACTTACATTCTTCAAATACTCTGAGTACAAATTGGATGGCATGATTTAAAGTGATATATTTATTCAAACAATGAAGAAGAATAAGCATCTAATATGATATAAATCTAATCTATATGTATAAATAGTGTAGCTCTAATATGCATAAATGAAAGTTTAGCAAAATTATATTAGCATATATTTTGAATTAAAAATTCCCTTGTTATGGGTCTTTGCAGTATGTCAAACCATATTAAAGGTGTTTCATACTTTTACAATTGTCAAATTTCCATTTTACTTGATCACTGAACACAGGTCTTATTTTATAAGCATTCTCCAAGGAGCTTGGAATTTAAATTAAAAACCCATTAAAGCAAGATCTGCGTCACCAAAAATAACTATTTCTGTCTTTCCGTTATAATAAAAGATAGCTTTCAAGAATTAAAAACAAATATATAGTAATCAGGGAACTGCAAATCAAAACTACAATGAGATACCAAATCATACCATAGAATGGCTATAATAAGAAAAGACAGATAATAACAAGGATACTGAGGATGTAGAGAAACTAGAACCCTCAAATACTGCTGGTAGGAATGTAAAATGTTGCAGCCTCTTTGGAAAAGGGGCTCGTAGTCCCTCCAAAGGTTAAACATAGAGCTATCATATGACTTAACAATTCTACTAGGTATATACTCAAGAGATGTGAAAACAAATATCCACGCAAAAACTTGTACAGAAATATTTGTAGCAACTATACTCAGACAGAAAGCACAAACAACCCAAATGTCTAACAACTGATGGATAAATAAAATGTGGTATACCCATACAATGAAAAATTATTCAGCATTAAAAAGGAATGAAGTACTGATACATGCTACAACCTTAATTAGACTTGAAAATATTATGCTAATTAAAAGAAACTGGTCACAAAAGACCACATAGTATTTGATTCCATTTACATGAAACATCCAGAAAACACTAATCTACAGAGACATAAGGTAGGTTAGTGATTGCCTCGGGTTAATGAGTTAGGAGAAATTAGGAGTGAATGCTTAAGAGTATAGTTTCTTTTTGGGGTACTGAAAATATTCTAACATTATCTCTGATGGTTATAGAAATCTGAATATTCTAAAAAACCACCGAATTGTTTATTTTTAATGTGTAAATTGTATGGACGTGAATTAGACTTCAATTAAGCTGTGAAACTCAATCCTCTTCCCCTAATCTTATGCAATGGCTTTCGGCTGCTCTTTAAAAGTACAGACCCTGGATTTACCAGAGAATCAAAATCTATGAGGTTGGTACCCACTTTTCTAGACTGTGGGGGCAGTACAGTGGAAACGACCAAGACTTACACTCTCTGCCAATGTAGAAGCATGATCTTCAGTAAATTACCTAATTTTTCTACAGTGTCAGTTCCTTTTTCAGTACAATGGAGAAAACACCTATTTCACTGGGTTACCGAAAGGATACAATGAGACAGTATATTTAAAGTATATATGTACGGAACAATGCATATGGTTTTTGTGCTCAAACAACAGCCATTCTTATTATGATGATGTTATTTTACTAACGTTTATTTTCTTGTTCCCTATAAAGAAACAGATGACATAGGCTTCTACATGCTTGCCCAAGATCCATGCATCTAAATTTAACTTTATAAATCATAATTCCTTATGAGAAACATTATACTTTTAAAAGCAGTTTACTTTCTGACACCTGCTTAGAATGAAATAAACAACATTTATGATATTACCATTTTTACAAAAGCACAGCAATTACAAAAACACAAACTTTAGTAATGTCACTAATGATGGGAAGGAGCTCATTAACAAATTCAATGGTTGTTTTTAAAAATTATAATTTAGGAATAAAGGTCAAAAGATTAGGTAGCCACAAATATAGGCCACACAGTTACATAAAATATGCCAATTTTAAAAGATACATTCACTCTGTAGTAAAAATGCTAACTATATGCTCAAGAACATATATGAATGTTCTTAATTCCCAGGTAATTTGATAGTATTACTATGGAAAAAGTCCTTAGAATTAAAGCCAAACTTTTAGGACTGAGTGTAACACATACACAAAACAACAAGAACAAAGACAGGAAATAACTTTTATATTTCTATGTAGAAATTCTGTATTTCTCCAATTGCCTATAATTCTATTCCACAATGAGCCATACATACAGGTCAAATTCTGACTAAATATAATACTATAACAAGTCATTCACCAACCACATTCCTATCTGAAGACATGGAATGGAGCATTTTCACCCAGAAATTCATGGGAATATTTTAATCTCTCTTAAATCATAGTCTATACCACTTGAGAAAGCCTGTGATAAATTTTCTAAACACATTCAATTAAACTAAAATTTATTAATATTTGGATTGTCTAGTTGAGTTAATGTAACGGATCATACCTAAAATTTAAACCACATTTTTACAAAACTGAACCAAATATTAAAACACCCACAGAATATCCTATCTTTGAAAAGCTGCAAAGCCTAAAATAAGTTTATCACTCATTATAAGACCAATCCTAAAAATAACAATATAATCTTTGCTTTATTTAGAATAAAATAAATGGTCTTTAATATAAAAAGAAAACTTCCTTTAAGAAGTTTCATAATCAACATTTTATGACAATTTTTACAAATCTTATAAAGAGGGCCCACAACAGCAAAACCTTTATCAATTTTTCAAAACTGATATCAATGGATTACTATATTCCAAATGTTTGAGAATATATTTCCATTAATTAAAAATGCCAGAACAACTAATATTTTTTTTTAAGTGACACGTTCACATGTCTGCCTATATGCCCTATTTTTTTTTCCTACTACCAGCCTTTAAAAAACATTTCCTGACTGGGTGGGCACCATGGCTCACGCCTGTAATCCCAGCACTTTGGGAAGCCGAGGCAGGTGGATCACAAAGTCAAGAGATGGACACCACCCTGGCCAACATGGTGAAACCCCGTCTCTACTAAAAAAAAAAAAAATTAGGCGGGTATGGTGGCGCATGCCTGTAGTCCCAGTTACTCAGGAGGCTGAGGCAGGAGAATCAATTCAACCAGGAGGCAGAGATTGCAGTGAGCTAAGATTGCACCACTGCTCTCCAGCCTGGCAACAGAGCAAGATTCTGTCTCAAAAAAAAAGAATTTCTTTTGTTTCAGTACAAGTTAGCTTTATATACAAGACTGGAATGAAATCTACCAAAATACTAATAGTGTTGCATTTACTATAGGTGACTTTTCTTCTACCCGCCTAAATTCTTGTGTTATTTTTAATAAACATGTTAGTACTTTCAAAATGCAAAAAAAAAAAAAAAAAAAAAAAAGTTCTGCTTTCTTATGACACTGCTCATTCATAAGGCTCTGATTGTCAACCTTTTTTGGTAAATTAGGTAGAAAATGATGTGAATTTAAACATCTTTCACATAAAGATGGAAAAGCCAGAATGAGAAAATGTAGCTTTAATATGTCTAATAAAATTGTATGAACGGATACTTTAAAAACAGCAACAACTTGAAAATTAGGCAAACATCTTTTCTTTAAGTCACTTAGTCTCCGATGAAAATTAAAGAAGATTAGATTTGTTTGTGAAAGATGTAATTACATCTATTTTCTGACCCACTTAAGTTTGTGGAACAATTTCAAACTGTATACTATTAACAGTGCTGAAAATGGAATCAAGTAAACCATAAAAAAGTTGTAATTTAGAAATAAGCTGCTTTTAGGCAAATATCAAGCATTTTTTGACATGAAAAAGCACTCAAAATTATTTAGCATAACAACTACTACAAATAATAATCCAAGGCCTCTTACCAATTTCAGCAGGTAGTTGTTTAATTTTGTTCTCTCGAATGCTAAGCATGCTGAGTTTTGACAAGTTTTTTATGTCCTTTTCCACAGTAGTTATACGATTAAAGCGAAGGTAAAGAGTGGTGAGAGAATCCAGCCTATACACCACTGAAGGAATTTCTCTCAGTTTATTATGCCGTAAATCAAGCATCCGCAGCTTCTTCAAGTTATCAAGAGAGTCAGGCAAACTGGTAAGTGAATTTTCACTTAGAGCCAGTGTCATGAGATTTACTAAACAGCCCACCTCTGCTGGGAGGGACTGCAATTTGTTACTGTATAAATAAAGTTCTGTTAATTGAGTCAACTCTTTGATTGATGATGGCAATATGTGTATTGATCTCTTGGATAAGTCCAAACGCATTGAATTCTCTTCTCGGCATTTGTTGAGCTCTTTAATCACCTCTGCATTGCTGGATTTTTTTCTAGTCCCAGGTGCTGGGTTTGGCCTTTTGATCGTATTGTCAACTGAAAATGCCACCCCTGGCTGGGCAGCACTGGAGTCCTTCTTTCCATCTTTGGCATCTTTCCCTTTGGTCTTAGGTTCTTTTTCTTTGCTCTCTTTCCCAAAACCTCCAGAGGCTTTTGCCTCCTTTTCTCTTTCCTTGGCTGATGGTACTTTGGGATCTTTTTCTTTAGAGTCTTTTTCTTTTCCTAAACTACTACTCATGGTGACTCAAGCCTGGACAAAAACTACATGAACTCCTTTTATTTTCCAGTAATTGAATTCAAGGATGAAGAGATAAAGATCCTACACAATCAAAACAGTGTTGGCTTAAAGAAATATTCAGCAAGGAGTAACATCCATCTGTTACATGTTGGATCTAAAAGTACTATGCCCATTTCTGATAATTCATTCCAACTGGTAAAATAGTGCTGGTCAATCAATGATTCATTAGAATTCCTGAAATACAGAGAAAATATTAAATTACTTTAGATAATTTATATTAAGTAAATAGGTTCTGAAAAATAATCTTATTATAGTTTGCCATTTTCCTATGATTTCATTCTTAAATATTTATGAACATCCTTTATTATATAAAAATCCATTTAAAACTAGAAAACTTAATAAGGCTGGCTCTGCCTTCAAGAATCTTGCAATCTAATAGAAAGAGGTAAGAATACCAGTTACGTTACTATAAAATTTTATATGAACTACAAAGTGGAAGAAATCACAACAATAAACTTAATATTTATTAAGTGCTTTCTACGTACTAACATTATTCTGAGGAATTCACAAATATTAATATAACACATAAAACAGCACTATGAGATATATTGTTATCCCCATTTCATACAAAGGAACACTAAAGTACAGAAATATTTTTAAGTAACTAACTTGGAGACCTTGGAAAAGTGACGGAGCCAATATTCCAAATTAGGTGGTATGTACTCATAGCCTATATTCCTAAGTCACTACATTAAAACAGTTCTATCTACAATTAATGGGCAGAGTTTTAGATAACAGAAAAGATTTTAATGGTGGTGACGATAGAAGGGAGAGCAGTCTGGCAAAAGGAAAAAAAATGAACATAATGAAATACATACAAAAAACAGCACAGTTCAGGGAAAGGGGCATTAAGAATCTGTACTTTAATAAGCACTCCAGATGATTCTGATGCAGGTAGGTCTAGGGATCACCTTTGAAAACCAGTCACAATATCCAATGATGTCTATATTCTAAGGACTGAAAAAGTGAGACAGATCAATGGCACAGGGTTCTTAAAAGCAGAAAAAGTTTGTTGGTAAAATGATAGGCCAAAAGAATTGGCAAAGGATAAAAAGATTAGTAAAATCTTCATGGAAGGAATCAGTCCTCCCTAAACATTCTGAAGTTCAAAATTAGTAATTCTTATTTTGTGACTCTATTGTTAACTCTATATAACTAACTGATAATTATTTGCTACAAAGGATTAAAGATAAAGTAACATCTTACCTGACTAGCTTAAGAGGTTAAAACAATTATTAGAATTTCGTCAGACTACCAAAAGGATGTGATGTTAAGTGCTAAGGATTCTGCTAAGAATTTATTTTCATAGGATATGAACCCCACTCTAAATACAAGCTTGCAGTTTAATTAGACAGCCAAAATACATATAATAATTGATAAGACAGCATATTATTAAATCCTCAGAGTGGCATATGCTATAGCACTTTTGAGAAAATTGATCAGTGAGAATGGTTGAGAAAAGCGTACCAGAAGGACTTAGGCTAACTAGTCCTAGATTAGTGGGTTGCCTTCAAGCAAATAAAGGAGAGGTGACAAAGCATTACAGATGGATGCCATGAAAAAGTTTTGCCTAGAATAGGGAATGGAGCTTAGTTTGCACAGGACACTAAAAATGTGTCACTTTGCTAAAGCAAAAGGTCAAATGTGCAGGAATAACAGGAACTGGGGTAGAGGATGAATAATCTGTAAATCTGAAACTGCACAGTATAAACTATATTGGTATATAAGACTGTACAATTAAACAAATATGTCATTATTTGCTAGCACACCAGGAGAGCTCTATCTCCCTACTACTCACCCCCCTTTCAAAAAAAAAAGAATTACTTTGCACTACAATGGAGAGAGACTAAGAAAAACTCTACAGATACTGATTCAGAAAGTAATGCTGATAAACCAATATGAAAGCACATTTACTAAAACCACACAACTGTGAATAATGGGAAGTATGCATAGCTAAAGGGTTACAGGCATTGCTTATCAATTTGTATTTAAGAAATGTCATTAATATCAAGTTTCTGGAAATCAAACCTCTATTTAGCAAGATATGTATATCCTAAATTTAGAAGGCCACCTCCTATATAAGGATAAAATGAGATATATAAGGTACAAAATAACATATACTAAGTACAGAGGATAGAACAAGACTATCCTATTAAAAGGTTAAGAAAATTCAGAAAGAAAAAAAAAGTAAACTTCTTTAATGATAAGAACAAAAAAAGAAAATTCATGATCTGAGATATTTGTTTAAAAATACAAATTCCCAGGCTCCGTCACAAATCACTGAATCAAAATTTTAGGGGGAGGGAGTCTGGGTACTTTATAAAAATAAATGCCTCAGCCAAAGCTTATCAAGTTTGGGAAATACATGATATGACCTAATGTAAGATCTAAATACCAGTATATTTAATATTACATTTTTTGAATATAATTCAAAAATAATGAAGGATGAAGGTAATAGGTGGGTCAAGAAAGAAACTATATTAATGAAAAGACAAGTTATTAATAAAGTTCCCACTGAAATCTAAAAGGACTTCTCATAATCCACAATACCATCCACTGTATCTGAAATTCAGACTGATATTTTAACTGTTGATGGGTTTACTGCAGTGATGAATTTGAACTAGTGACCCACACACTCATCCTGTAGCTCTTGTACTTAATGAGATCTGCTGATACATATTCCGGTAATAGCTCCTAAGAAATATAACTAGTCAGAAAATAAAATTTTTGACCTTGACAAAATCAGTATGCTTTACTTAAAGCAAATTAACTAACCAGTCAGCCTTGACTATTAAGTAAAAATTTTTCACATCCAGTAAAAATATATTGTGGCCAAGAAAACAAATTATCTGACAGTCAAAAATTAAATTCTGGATCTAGCTCAGAACTGAATCAGGTGACCCCAAACATTTTAGATAAGAAAACATATTGAAAGTAAGCTTTCCTGTTTCTTGGAAAGAAGTAATTTATTCGATAGTTGTTTTTTAATCACTTCAACTCTACTGTTTTGGGGAAAGGCTAAGCTATATTTGCACACGATTTGAATCTTGTACCCACTTAGGTAATAGAATACACAGTACCAGTCTCAAAATGCTTAAAATCTAGAGATAAAAGCATAAAACTGCATCAATCATTAGGCTGAGGTTGGCAATGAGGTTTTCATCCTGGGATCTTTTCTGCCCCAGAGGAGTCTTTTAGTCACCTGCACCTAGTAACTACCACATATGAAGCACTTGATATGTTAGCTCCCTTGAATAGAATACATTTTACCAACAGTGACCCCAAACAAACTACAAATTTGGCCAGGTGTGGTGGCTCACACCTGTAATCCTAGCACTTTGGGAGGCTGAGGCGGGCAGATCACTTGAAGTCAAGAGTTGGAGACCAGCCTGACCAACATGGTGACACTCCATCTCTACTAAAAATACAAAAATTAGCTGGGCGTGGTGGCGGGCGCCTGTAATCAGAATTGCTTGAACCAGGAGGCAGTGGCTGCAGTGGGCCGAGATTGTGCTACTGCACTTCAGCCTGGGCAACAGAGAAAGACTCCTCAAAAACAAAAACAAAACAAAAAACTACAAACTTGTTGGTGGAGGTCTGAGTTGATATCATTTTTCTCTGGTACATAACTATATTCCAAATTATGAAAACTCTGAATTTCAAATTCCTAAGTAGAAGAGTTCCTCTAGTCCCAATTTACAGATGAGAAAACTGAGGCACCAAAGATGGATACCTACTAAATGACTAAGGAAAAATTCAAAACCAGGTCAGCCTCTTCAGGACTCGAAAGCCCAGGCATATTCTTTCTCCACCCCATGTTGGATTTCAGAGATAAGCATCCAAATCATGATTATATGAGGGTGTTGATTATAATTAATTTAGGCTTCTAATAGCTTTTAAGTCAAGAGTCAGCAAACTTTTCCTGTAAAGGGCCAGATATTAAATGCTTCAGGATTTGCAAGACAGATTGCTTTCTACTGCAGGTACTCAATTCTGTCATTTTAACATAAAAGTAAACAATATGTAAAGGAGTAAGACTGGCTGTGTTTAAATAAAACTTTACCAAAACAGATCTCAAATTGGATTTGGCCATCAGGCCATAGTTTGCCAAGCCCTGTCGTAAGTTACTGCCGGTTTTAAATCATTCCTTTCAGGAACGATATTTTTATGCAAATTGGACACAAGAAGTAAAAAATGTAGGCTGTCAAATTTGGAAAGGCTGGATATTCAAATTTAGTAATTTGGACTTTAGCATGCAGACATCATGATTCTTTACTCTCTAAACTCTGTTTCAGCAGGGTACTCTCAGGGGCTGCCAAGAGTAAATATAAATAGTTAATAAAGGATTCCTGAAGGAGAAGAGGCTATGATTACAGTCATATTTTAACAAAATGTACCTGACACTGTTTAGAATGACTGTCAATGGTCAGGACTTCAGAAGGAAGGCAGAAAATTTAAAAAGCAATAATAATTTCGTGTTTAATCAGTGCCAGACATTTTCAGCAAGAATCATCTGGGGAGCTTAGAAATCCCAGACTCCTAATCCAAGAATGCTAACAAAATAAGTGTCTGTGGTAGAGAACAGTAAGCTGTATGTTTAAAGAGTTTTCCAGGTGATTCTACATAGAGCCAAATTTGGAAACCACTGCAACATTCCATGCCAAACACGATAGGTAAAATCTAACTATTTTTAGCTACAGTATTTTGGAATTCTGTAGGTTCACTTTAGGTTGTCTCAAAGTTTCAGGAGATACTACTGGCATTTAATGGGTCAGGTCTGGAGATGAGAACTATCCTTGCATACTGTACAACTTTCAAATATCTACCAAATATATAACTAGGTGAAATACCTGTTTATAATTCTGAGCACTTAGAATCTAATTCCATTTTAAACTGCAATATTTTTGCACTATTCTCTAAGAGTCATTTGTTATTTCTGATGATCACTGACACCCACAGTGATCTTGGTATCCCAATCACAAATATAACACATCTGTAACCGTTTGCACTTCTAACAATTACATGCATGATGATATTATGTACAAACTTTTGCTCTTCATTGCTTTCTGGTATCATGTCTGAGCATTTAAATACTGAAACATAAAATGCATAATAAATTCTTCAATGTTTTCTAATATCATTGTGCCTAAGCATTTACATAACATATAAAATGT